AGCCAATCATAATGTATGCCTCACTAAAGTGAGGTTCTAGGTCCCCTGTGATTTCAAACTTGAACCTTTTAGTTTTACTGGATATGGAGGAGACACAGAGAACCCCAGGGGAGGAGCCACACAGCTGGAATGACAGGCTCAGCAGCCAAACAGAAAGAACGTTGGTCCATCAGGGCAGAGCATACCTGTAAGCAACAGTCTGCCCATGCTGGCACAATGCATATAAATCCTGCTGACAGTCAAAAATCGTTTAAAAGAACATTAAATCGTATTAAATCTTTATAAAAAGAAATGGGAAATGACTGCTAAAATGTAGATTTAAGGACAACACCCTGAAAAGATAATGCTTGGAGTGAACACTTAGTGCACTGTTAAGACACTGCTTGGGATCTCCACATCCCACACAGGAGTTCCAAGGAACAGAGTGATGGTCTCTGCTTCATTTTTACACTGGCTTCTGTTTTCCAGGGCTGTCAAGTCTAATAGGTGAGAGGGGTAGGTGAATAAATAACCACACAGTGATCAAACCTATAAAAATATAAAACACCGGCAGAAGCAGGAAACTTAGTATCTGAGCCGAGCTTAAAAGATGAACGGGTGGTGGGCATTTGGCAGTTCTGAAGACACCACGTGGGACGCCTGCAGCCTGCATCCCCCATCAAACTGGATGGTACTGGAGCATCCCCCAGCCTCAGGCATTCCGGTGGGAGGATGGAGACGCCACTGGGACAAACTCAGGAAAGTAATCCCTCCAGGTCGTGCTTTTGTCTCTCTTCTCAGAAGCTGGCTCTTGATGGCTCAGCCAGTCTCCCACTGCCTGAAGCCACTTGTGCTGCAGCCTAGATGCCCTAGCTCTGTGGCCATACTCACTCTGATAGTAACTTCACACCTAGTATCTTGTACATTTTCTGCTGTAACCTAGAATGTGAATACTTTCCATGAAATTCTGGGAGATGTTTTATTTTGATGTTTTATTTCTACTCTATACTTTATTTAAAAAAAAGGATTTACTTATTTATTTTAAGTTAAAGACAGAGAGAGAGAGAGAGAAACAGAGAGAAAGGTCTTCCATCTGCTGGTTCACTCCCAAATGGCCACAATGGGTGGAGCTGTGCCGATCTGAAGCCAGGAGCCATTAAGCTTCTTCCGGGTCTCCCACATGGGTGCAGGGGCCCAAGCACTTGGGCCATCTTCTACTGCTTTCCCAGGCACATTTGTAGGGAATTGGATCAGCAGTGGAGCAGGGGCCAGCACTGTGGTGCAGCGGGTTAAAGCTGCGGCCTGCAGCGCCGGCATCCCATGTGGACACCGGTTCAAAACCTGGCTGCTCCAATTCCAATCCAGCTCTTTGCTATGGCCTAGGAAAGCAGTGGAAGATGGCCCCCCATGTGGGAAACCTGGAAGAAGTTCCTGGATCCTGGCTTTGGATCAGATCAGCTCTGGCTGTTGCAGTCATCTGGGGAGTGAACCAGCAGATGGAAGACCTCTCTCTCTCTCTAGATCTACCTCTCTCTGTAACTCTGTCTTGCAAATAAATAAAATAAATCTTAAAAAAAAAAAAAAGAAAGAAAGAAAAAGTGGAGCAGCCAGGAATTGAACTGGTGCCCATAGGGGATGCCAGGGCTACAGGCAGAGGCTTAACCTAATATACCAAACCACTGGCTCTTCTATATATTTTTTAACAAAAAAGAAAGAGGAAGGAAGGGAGGTTGGCTGGATGGGTCCCCACATGGATCTCATCCGCTCACATCCAATGCGTCACAACTGACAGTTCAACAAAAAGCTCTCGGGTTTTACAGCTGAGTTTGGAAGTTCAAGATGCAGCACAATGCAGTTGCTAAGAAGAAGCCTTCTGGGGGCAAACCACCGAATTCATGTCCTTGTTCTTCTACCTACTATATACTTGTGATCTTGGGCAATTAACTGACGTTTCTATGGGTCTGCAAAGTGGGGTGATAAGAGTAAGAATATCTACCTCCTGTGGTTGGTGTGAGGGCTCTGTGAGCTAACATACATGCAGAGCACAGAAAATTGCTGGGGCTGCCCAAGTGTCAGCCGCCACCACCACCACTGCCCGTCGCCTAATCCTAAAATCAAGCTGAATTTCAGCACTGCTGGTGAGAAAGAAAATGGCGACCCCAGAGGAGTACAAAGAAGCAGAATATGCGGGACAGAGTGTGGAGATGCTCTGGGCGGGCTCCCCCTCTCCTGACCCTAGGGCAGCAGGAGGGTTTCTTGGCCCGCCATGGTTCCGTTCCTGGAGAACATGACGCCTGGGCTCGAATGCCCCTCTGTCTTCCACCAACAAACACTTCATTTCCTTGCTTGCATTTTTGTGACCCACCTAGAATTCCAAACGCCTCAAAGGAGAAAAGACTTGTGCTAGGGTCTGAATGCTGGTGTCCAGGGCCACTACCACACCCGCCCCATTCATATCTTGAAACCTAATCCTCAGTGCAATATGGGGTTACTTAAAAAGGTTATGGAAATGTATATTATGGAAAAAAAAAAACTGTGGGCCTGTTAGGAAACTGGCGCAGTTTTATCTATGGCGCAGTCTACACCCTGATTTACATCCTAGGCCCTGGCTCCCGCCGCCTCTGCTGGAAGCCAGGTGGCCACATGGCCCAACCACCAGTGTCAAGCTCCACCCCCATCCTAATGGGATTCGCTGCTCCTGCTTCCCTGCCCGCCCTCCGGCAAAGTTTTAAAAGGACCTGTTCCTGAACACGTGCTCTCTTGGTTCTTCTCTCCTGTTCTCTTGCCTCCTCTCATTTGCTCTCCTTTCTCCTCTCGTCTCTCTTCTCTCCTTGCTATCTCCTCTCCTCTCTGTTTCTCCCTTATACTCTCCTTCTCTCTCTTTTCCTTCCTCACTCCTTTCCTCCAGCCTGCTGGGTTTCCCCAATAAACCCTTTCCCTTATTCTGGTGTTTGGTGTGCTTTGTGACGGCTAACAGGGTCTGAAAACTTTTTGGCATCAATAGACACTTTAACTCCATGTTAAAGTATCCTCATAGTGTGACGAGGTAGGGCCTTTGGTCATGAAGCTTCCACCCACACCAATGGGATTGGTGCTCTTATAAAAGAGGATGGAGGGGCCAGCACTGTGGAGTAGTGGGTAAGGCTACCACCTGAGTGCTGGTATCCCATATGGCTGCTCCACTTCCGATCTAGCTTTCTGCTGTGGCCTGGGAAAGTCGTGGAAGATGGCCCAAGTGCTTGGGCTCCTGCACCCATGTAGGAGACCCAGAAGAAGCTCCTGGCTCCTGGCTTTGGATAAGCGCAGCTCCCGCTCCAGCCATTGCAGCCCTCTGGGGTGTGAAGCAGTGGATGGAAGACCTGATAACATGGGGCAATAAAACCTTCACAGCTGGCGCCGCGGCTCAGTAAGCTAATCCTCCACCTTGCGGCACCAGCACACCGGTTCTAGTCCCGCTCAGGGCGCCGGATTCTGTCCCGGTTGCCCCTCTTCCAGGCCAGCTCTCTGCTGTGGCCAGGGAGTGCAGTGGAGGATGGCCCAAGTCCTTGGGCCCTGCACCCACATGGGAGACCAGGAGAAGCACCTGGCTCCTGCCTTCGGATAGGCACGGTGTGCCGGCCACAGCGCGCCGGCCACAGTGGCCATTGGAGGGTGAACCAATGGCAAAGGAAGACCTTTCTCTCTGTCTCTCTCTCACTGTCCACTCTGCCTGTCAAAAAAAACCTTCACAGCCCTTAGGGGTAGCCCCTCTGCTCTGCCCAGCTCCAGCAAACCTGGGGAGGAATTTGCTAACTTATTCTCCAAAAAACCCTTTATCCTAAAGGAGAAGGGGGAGGGGGTAAAGAGACCCCCTAAAAAGCTGGGTGTCTAATCAAAGACTGGGCGCTCAGCCCCCTGCTCTCTGCTGACCTGCCTGCCTGGCCTGCCCAGGTGTATTCTCGCCATTCAACCATGTAACCTTCCCCCAGTCCCAGTGACCAGCACTCTCTCTCTATCCCTTCTATTCTGACGGATGCCCTGTACCCACTAAAACCTTATTACCTTGCTCTCTGTCTCACACCTGAGTCTTTTCTTTAGTGAAGACAAGAACCCATGGCCTTTTCTCTGGTGACATTTCTACCTCGTGAATAAATAAGTCTTAAAAAAAAATAGAGGCGAGAAGGAGTCCTTTTGCCCCTCTCCTCGCCATGTGAGGGCAAGGCAGCATCTCTGAAGCACGCAGCAGGTCTTCACAGGATGCTGAATTTACTGGCACCTTGACCTTGGATGTTCCAGCCTCCAGAACCATGAGAAATAAATCTGTGGTTTACAAATTACTCAGCTGGGGCCAGCACTGCGGCGCACTAGGTTAATCCTCCACCTGCAGCACCGCCGGCATCCCATATAGGTGCTGAGTTCTAGTCCTGGTTGCTCCTCTTCCAGTCCAGCTCTCTGCTGTGGCGAGGGAGGACACTGGAGGACAGCACAAGTCCTTGGGCCTTACACCTGCGTGGGAGACCAGAAAGAAGCATCTGGCTCCTGGCTTCGGATCTGTGCAGTGCTGGCCATAGCAGCCATTTGGAGAGTGAACCAACGGAAGGAAGACCTTTCTCTCTGTCTTGCTCTCTCACTGTCTATAACTCTATCTGTTGAATAAATTAAAAAAAATTACTCAGCTGAAGGTCTTTTGTTATAGCAACCCAAACAGACTAAAATAACCTCTTTCTTCCAGTACATGGTGGGGACCATAGTAGGACACTCTACACAAAAGGAAGAATGAGTTTTTTTCCCATCAATTCAGTGCACTTGATTCAGTATGGGACATCTCACAAAAGAGGTTTGAAAGAATAAGAAAAGCCTCAGCTGTGCCAATAGTTGACATGATTTAACCCACCTTGTCCAGCACCTCAGATGCCTGAATGACAAGATTAAGACAGAAAAGGGGCACCTGCCATCCGGTAAGGTGAGCAGGAGCCAACTTCCAAACACATGCTACACATCACCCAAAGGACAGCCAGGGAATAAAGACAGGAGACTCGGAGTCAGTGTTTCATTGGTCATGATCAAAAAGGATGGTTAACACATACACACACTCACATGTCATCCCACCTGCTGCAGGGCAGAAGTCACCCTTCCGGATCTCACACCCGTTCTGCACGCCCTGCAGCCACCGCCTCACCCACCCAGAGCCCTGGCCTTCACCGGGAGCTTCTTCTGCCTTGGTTCTCATCTCCCCTCAGCGCGGTGCCTGGGCGCTCAATGTCCAGGCAGAGATAAGAAAATGGAGGATTTGGCCGGAGCCTGCAGTGGGCAGTGTGGCAACATCCATGAGTTCTTCTCTACCTCCTTCTCCCAAACTCTCTCCTTCTCTCCCCTCTCCCACCTCATCGTTGTCCCCCAGAAACAAATAGGATGGCTTCACTGGTCAATTCTTTACATGTACAAACACCAAAAGCAGAGGAAATGCCCCTTGGCCACCCCCCTCCCCCCTAACCCCAGTGCTGGGAGAGCAGCCGGTGGGCGAGGCTGCCTCGGGGCTGCGGAGCCGCTGCAGCTGTCCGGCTGTCCTGGAAACTTCTTTGGCCTCTGGGCTTTACCTGGAGGCCTCTTCCTTCAGCTCCTTGTTTTTCCGCACCTCCTCGGCATGCTTGTCCTAGGGAGGAGAGGAGGGAGAGGGGCAGGTCACACAAGGCTGCCCAGGGGAAAAGGGAGGTTGAGGGGCAAGAGAATGGAAAACAAAGAATGACCACTGCAGGAAGCGAAGAGCTGGGTCTGCAGAGGCATCCTGGGAGGGGCAGAAGGTGGCAGGTGAGGCTGGCAGGAGGCAAGGGAGGGAGCCCTTGAGCTGTGGTCCCAGGAAGCTCATGGATGGGTGGGTCCCAGTCTCCTAAAGGAGGCCCACTCCACAGGGACCCCAGGGTCCTTCAGCCTCCCTTCCATCACCTGGCCGTTCTTTAGCTTGGATGAATTTTTTGGCTTGACTTAATAGAAGAAGCCACTGTGGGCAGCTGCATTAGAGGAACAGGTGGAGCAGACAAGGCTCAGCACAAGCGTACCCTACTGCCTACTGCTGGTACTTCTCATCCGTCTCCTCAGTGCGAGCTGCCTCAATCCCCTTAGTGAAAGGCAAGGCCTCTTAAAATATGAGTTGATGGGAGAATGTTTGTAACTATTGCCCAACTCCAAAAAGTAAACTTTCTGACTCCTATTTTAAAAGAACCATCTTTCATTTCATGGCATAATCAAGTCAAAAGTCGGAATTGGCCTGCCAAGACCCACCAGCAGGTGAGTTTGGTCCAGCCACTTCCAGCAGACCTCAGCTTTGTGATGTTTAAAGAAAGGGGCATGGATGGGAGCTCTTTTGGCTTCCAGCTCTGTGGCTGCAGGGTTCACCTGCCAGGCTGCCTCACCAATCTGCCCGCTGTTCCTACTCCCTGCGCACGCCTGCCTCCTCCACCAGAGGGCGACTCCCTTGCAGGCAGAGACATCTCTTCCTCGTGTGTCCTGCTTTCTATCAGAGCCCCTTGTATATGTCAGGCGCTCAGTAGATGCTGTCCCTACCGGCGCCTGGCATAGTCACGTTTCACAAGTCAGAATCAGCCTGGAGGACACCCACTGAGGCAAGGCCTCTGTACCTGGAGAAGCCCTAGAACTTTCCATGGCCTGGGACTGAGGAGTAGTACCTCCAGGGCAGTGGTTCTCAAGTTTTGCTGTGAATCGGCATCACCCACGAAGCTGGGTGTGCTTGGGCAGCATCCCCAGAAAACCCGGGTGTCCGGGGTGGGGTCTGAACACCCTGTGTCTTGACACTGCACACAGTGAGCCTGGTGCAGATGGTCAGTGAACACACAGACAGGAGCCCACTGGCACATGCAGGTTCACAGGACGGGAATCACACACCCGGCTCTCCCCAGCCTTCTACCTGCACGGTGGGTAAAGGGGAGTAGAAATCCTGTCCAGAGGAAAGTCTGCTCTGACATCCTGCTTCACTGAGCCCACCTCACCTCCACAGTCTCTCCGACTCCGACCATCTCCGTTCCCAGGTGAGCTCACCACACGGAGCCCTTGGCCTTGACCACCCGGGTTGCTCTCACTGACAGTAGGCTGGCAGGATGACTAGAGGCTGATCTTGCTGAGGCAGGCTGTGAAGGTGCCGCCTGGCTCTGCCCCAGCCCCACTGATTCTTAGCTCTGTGACCCTGAGCTGGTCACGAGACCTCTGACACGGTTTCTTCACTCGCAAACTAAGGAAAATGCCTGTCCTGCTTTTGCATGGCCTGCTGCGGATCGTGGTACGATGAAACAAAAGTGGTTTCTGCAAGCAGCTTTCAAACGCCACGGCACAGGTCTAGCCTCAATGGTTCGTTTCAGGTTGGGTCTGAGAGCCCACATCCCATCTTATCCCCAACCCCACGCGGTTTTTCCTCAAGTATTTGCCTCCAGTCATCCCTCAGTGGCTGGGGAAGCCTGAAGCCAGACTCGGATCGCTTTCTTCCCACAAGGCCTTGCTGCCCCTTCTGGGATGGGGCATCAGAGAGCAGGACCTGCACACACTGGCCAGCTCCAGAGCCGGCACAACAGTCAGATCCCTGGGAATGAAAACTGGTCTTTCTAGTAGCTGTTGCCAAGGGCCTGAGACTCTAGGTAGATGGTCGGGAAGGAGTGGGGACCACGCTGCTCACCATGGGACGAGGCCACCGATCGGGTCCCGGGAGTCACCGCGCAGCAGGCGGCTCCTGGAAATAAAACACAGAGCTGGAGCTCTCCCAGGAGCTGCAGGAGGAACTGGGCCAGCCTTGAGACTCAGGAAACGAGGCCAGCGTGTTCTCAGCAGCACGGGCTATGATTCTGCTGACACGGGGGACCAACCCCAGGCTCTCATGTTTCTCATATTTAGGTGACACCATTTGGTTTATTGACAAAAGGCAGGCTATTGGAAAGGCTTGTGAGTCACTCGGTCTATGTCAAGAGGTTTGCCCAGAGTCACGTTTCCTGCTCAATGGGCAACTCAGCTCGTCAGCCCTTCCTTGGCTCAGAGCCAGGAGCTCAGGTCAGCATCTCCGATTAAAGCAAATCAGTGCATTCATGGATGAAGCCAGGAAGGTACAACCGCCTGTGCGTTCTAGCCCCTTGCATTAGACAGACGCTCTTTAGAAAGCAGAGGCTACATCTCCCTAAGGCAGTGGGACATTGCAATTGTGTCACTGTGCAGAATAACCCCCAAGGGAACTCAAAGCCAGGTTCATGTTTGTTGCCTAGGACTTCCCAGTGGTTCCCTTGGAACTCTCTGAGGATCCTGCCTAATAGCAATAACTGCATTCCTCCCAAGGCTGCCTGCTTCCTGAAATGACGCGCAGGTCCGGGTGTGCTTGCCACGGAGGGAAGAGAGCGGCCCAGGCGCCTCCTCTCTGACCCAGGGCCACTCACCTTCTCTTGCAGCCGTTCCAACATGGCAGCTAGGTGAGCCTCCCGGTTCTCCTTGTTGGACTCCATCTTCTGGGCCAGTTTTTCTTTAGCCATCTTGATGAAGTTGTTGTTCTCTTCAATGGCTTTTTGGATCACCTCCCGCTCGTGTTCTCGTTTCTCTGCTAGGTGTTTCAGGAGCTCAGCTTCCTGGTACTGGAAAAGCACAAAGAGAGAGACTGCAACGTGAGTGTGCTGGGGTGCATTTCACCGGCAGGGCTTAGAAGCCCCACATCCAGGATAGGCGCCTCCCTGAGCAACGTCCCTATCCCGGGAAGCAAGGACACTTGTTGAATTCTCCCACCACCTTCAAAGCCTTCCACGTTCTTTGTTTTGTTTTGTTTTCAGCCTTTTTCTAAATATCCTTAGGACCCTTTAATCATTACAATCATTCATTCATTGATTCATTCACAGATACTCAATCATCTTTTAATATGTGCCAGGTACTGTTCTAGCAACCTGGGGGAGAAAAAAGCCTAGCAGAAATAAGGCATATGCAAGAGTACTTCAAAGAAATTATGGAGAATGGTATTAAAATATAATTCATTTTTTTATTTTGGTGCAAAAATATTTTGAGATCCATGCACATGCAGGTGTTTCCAAAGGTTGGTGGAAGATGTGCATTCTAAGAAACTGCATGGATTTCCATTCCTTTGCACAAAAAGTAATTTATTTTCAATTCTTTTTTTTTTTTTTCACAAACCTTTTGAAGTACTGCCTTATATAAGTGGGTAAAACCCAGCCTAGCTTTCACATGTGCCTGAAGAGGTCAAGAGGAATTCAAGAGAGGAGCTCATTTCCTGCTTGAAAGATAAAGGAAAACTTACACAAAGACGGCATCAGACTTGGGCCACAAGAATCTAAAGGACAGCAGAAGGCATACCACTGGCTAGCAATGTACCCGCTCCCTCAGTGAGGAAAAACCCTTGGCGTTCATCAACATCTCACTGTGCGGTGATGGAAGGCCACCTCTTGGAGGCACGAAGTGCCCATCCTATGCCTCTGACTACACTTGATGCCGCTCCTAGAGTCCCAGGGCTCTTACTTCTTTATTACCCTCAACAGTGCCTCCTTCTTCACCCCGCACATGTGATGAGCTGTCTAAAGACGCGTGACTTGCCCATGACCTGACTGCAACTCAGGGCATCACTGTCTCCCGCTCCCTCCCACACGCAACGAGATGGAGGGTAGAAGACAGGGCCACACGGCCGGCGCCGCGGCTCACTAGGCTAATCCTCCGCCTAGCGGCGCCGGCACACCGGGTTCTAGTCCCGGTCGGGGCGCCGGATTCTGTCCCGGTTGCCCCTCTTCCAGGCCAGCCCTCTGCTGTGGCCAAGGAGTGCAGTGGAGGATGGCCCAGGTGCTTGGGCCCTGCACCCCATGGGAGACCAGGAAAAGCACCTGGCTCCTGGCTCCTGCCATCGGATCAGCGCGGTGCGCCGGCCGCAGCGCGCCGGCCGCGGCGGCCATTGGAGGGTGAACCAACGGCAAAAGGAAGACCTTTCTCTCTGTCTCTCTCTCTCTCACTGTCCACTCTGCCTATCAAAAAAAAAAAAAAAAAAACCATACTTAAAGACAGGGCCACACTCACCTTCCTCCGCTCCTCAGCTGCTTCTAGTTTCTTCTGGATCTCCTCCAGGGACGGGTCTCGTCTCCGGGGCAGGGAGGCGTTGAACTCGGGTACCCCGTCGAAGGAAGGCGGCTTCAGAATGACTTCAAAAGACTGGCCGGAGGTGCACTTGTTGAGCTCAATGACTTCCATGTCGGAAATGACACACCAGTTCAGGTCCACTGTGTCTGCTGCAGGGAACAGGAAGGGGCTGCTCACCCCCTGAAGAGCAGGCAGGGTCCCCAGGAACATGCACACGGATCGGGGAGGCCTGGGGTCCCAAGGCAGAATAATGACCATGACTGGGGCTCTGGCTCTGCCCTGAACGCTGATACCTCGGGTCAGTGGGCTTGGATAGGGCTGATGGAGTCTTTGGCCACAGGAAGGCTCTGAGGGCAGGGGCTCCTGCACACACGAGTTCTTACGATGGCCGCAGCCATGCCAGCAGCGTTTGGTTTTGACCCCACCACCAGCCTCCTCCTCACTTTGTCCTCACCAGTGACCGACAGAGGTGCACTTTGCCCACCTCCCACCCCCATCCCTTCCTCGCCCCACTGCCCATCTGATGGCTTAGCCTCTGCACACCTCTCCCCTGTCTCCCTCCTACCCTCTTCTCTTCTTTCTCTCCAGTCAGCACTGTCTTTCCGCTGGCTTTGACCTTTTCTCCTACACTGTCTCCCACACCAGCCTAAACAGAAAAAACAGTCTCAGGTCATTGGAGCACTCCCATCTCTCATTGCCAGACCAAACCCATCCCTTCCTTTGAGCCAGAAAATTAGAGGGTGACTTGGCTGGTCCCTGATTGCCCCATATGAGTATGTGGCTATCCATGGCTCCCTGCCAGTGTCTTGGGACTGTAGTTGCCATGGCCCCCACATAGCACAGCTGTCGCACAGCTTCCTTGTGTGGCTACAGGTGGAAGCCCTTTGCCCACCTCTGGCCTTTCCCAGAGAGTCTCCAGCTGCCCTGGAGAGCCCTATGGCCAGTGGAAGCTGGTGGTGCACACTGAGTCCTGTTATGCCATCTCATCCAGGGGTCCCCGTAGGCAGACTCCCTGTCTGGTTCCCCTTTGAAGCCTCCACAGCATCTACTTGTTCACCGAATGAACACTGGTGACACTGAGATCCAGGGCTACTGTCTAGGGTCCCAGGCAACACCCCTATTGCTCAGACCCTCAGAGATAGTGATAGGGCAGATTCATGAATGGGGGTGGGGTTGCTGTATCCACAAGCATGGGATCCCACACCCCTTCCTTTCCCAACTGGGCCCTCACTGACCTTCATAGTTGTAGGATGACTTATTCAGGGGGTCAGCCAGGAAGCAGGAGCAGAACAAGGACACCAGCGGGAGCTCCTTCATCTTCTCTTTGTAGGCTGCAGGGATATGCCGGCAGGTGAGGATGAGGAACCTCAGCAGCTGGGTGTCCTGGGCTCCACATGGGCACCCAAATCACCCAGACCCATTCCAAGGCTGGGGTCCAGGGCCTTTGTCCTGAAGCCGCCCAGATTAGGATTTCTATATGTGATTCCAATCCACTTCCACCCTTTTGAAACAGCAGTCTTCCTGAGCACCCAGATGACCCCATCCTTCTCCCCAGGACATCTTCTCCCCTCCTACCATAGAATGCAAGACACCCTCAGCAAAGATCCCCAGTCAGTGCCCTCCCCACTCAGGGCCCCTGCACCTGCCTCTTTCTCCCCACACCTGCCCCACACAGTTCTACATACAACTTAAATATGGCGGTGCTGCCACCAAGGAGGATTCCAGACAGGAGGGGGCGCCCTCACCCCGTCCCTCTGCTCTGGCTGCGGGGAGGTGGCCAGTCAGGCTGTGGGTCTTCCTGACCTTCCTAACACAGCAGAGTGCAGAGACAGGGATCCCTGATGGCTGGAGCACAGCCTTGTCCCGGAGTCTTTCTGGGTTTGGGAGGCCATAGGCAAGAGCTGTCCAGGTCCTAGCTGGCCTCCTGCAAGTCCCTCCCCACTACCCTGGGGCCCATTCACCCATGTTGATATCCAGCACCCCCAGTGCCAGGCACTCTCCTCTCATCTCCTTTTACAAACTCGAAAACATAACTGCACAAATACTACATGGGCATAATAAAAACCTTAAAACACACACAGGTGAACCAAAGGAAGGGAAACTGAACCGCGACCCCACCGCCACCCAGGGATGACCTCCCCTGACCCTCGCTGTGTTTCCAGGCAGCCCCTTGTGTCTGCAGGATGCATGTTCACATGTGTGCAGAGAAACAGCTGGTGCTGAGGGCCCCATCACACAACAGCATCTGGACCTACCAGCGAGAGTCATGTTTTCCGGGACCTGGTGGCCGAATCCAACTGGATCACAAGGTAGGCTTGGTACTAGCTTAGGACTTGGTCACAAACCTGAGGAAAAGAGAATAGTGACAGGGTCTTCTTCTACCAAAGGTCTTTATGCCACCAAGAAGGTCATCACGGAGGTCTCTCACTGGCTCTCGCTTCTCCCTGCCAATTCTCACCTTCCCAACACCCGCCTCCTTCTACACCACCCCAGTCAAGCTCAGAGGCTCTGCACCCACGATCATTTCATAACTGCTTCCCCATCTGAGGCCTCTGAGGGGAGCCAAAGGTGGGGTCCCCAGAAATGCACAGGCCAAGGGGTGTTCATCTGACTCCCTGTGCAGCTCAGCAGCCTGGTCCAAGGTGAGGGTTAGGGTTGGGTATGAGGCAAGTCCTCAGGCAGAAGCACCTGCAAGGGGCTTGCAAGATAACGATGCTTCCTGAACATCTCCCTACACATCCCCTAGAGCTCTTTCTGGCCAATTTTGATATGGGAAATAGCACAGAGGAGGATAAAGCACTTCAGATACCACCTTACCACCCTCTAAGAACCTCTGACTGAAGCTCTGCTTGGCCTCATATAAAACAAACTGGGGGAGAGGGGTATTGTGGGGCTGCTTGTTGGGACATCCGCACTCCATAGCACAGTGCTGACTGGAGTCCCTGCTGCTCTGCACTTCCTGTTCAGTTTCCTGCTAATACAGCTAGGAGACTGAGGATGATGGCCCAAGTACTTGGGTTCCTGCCACCCCTGTGGGAGACCCAGAAGGAATTCCTGCCTCCTGGCTTTGTCCTGGCCCAGAGCTGGCTGGGCATTTGTCTTCCAAATAGACACATCTGTTTAAAAAATAAAATAAGAAATAAAAAGCAACACCATATCATGAGAGGAGACAAACATGAAGGAATGATGCTGTCCTATTGTGGTTCACACAGAGGTAGGAATCGGCATGCGGGGTTATTGTGGGAGCACAGAGACAGAGTGCATTCTCAGCATGAGGTTGGGGAGACTGGGAGGGGCCCTGGGTGTTCACAGCCCCTGGACTGAGTGTTAAGGGTGAGGCAGAATTAGGCAGAGAGTACACTTGGCCCCAGAAACACCACCGGCAAGGGTTGGAAGTGAGAAAGCTCAGTGTCCACACAGATCTGTCTACAGCTGGCTGATACTGGGCCAGAAAGTGGGAAAAGAGGAGAGACTGAGATGAAATGGGAGAGAAAGGGTGGGAAGTGGTAGTGGAGGATCTGTGGGATTAGAGGTGATGGGCTCCGTGACAGCAGCTACCCAGACGGTGAGGAATGGCTGGAGATAAGTGCCTATCATTGTGACCCCTTGGTCCTGGGCCACCCTCAGTTGTCCCCATGCCAGTGGAGGATGGCCTGAGCCAACAGCATGGCTACTTGTGCCCTCATGAGGGAAAGGAACCAGAGACCAACTTGGAGACTCCTTTCTTCCCTAATCGGGACACTCTGGGGACCGGGGTCCTTGCTACCTAGGGACAGGCAGGGGGAGCTGATGGGAATTACTGGCTCAACATGAGCTTTAGTATAGACCGGTGTGGTGTAAAACCCAGACAGACTGTCACCAGTCACTTCGTATGTCCAAACTTCGCTTCTCTTAATTCTGTGGAGCTACACACGTTAAATACGCAAAGCCTACGCACGGCATCCAGCAAAAAGGAAGCCCCAAGCAGCAGTTAGATTCCTGCCTTCTGCCTTCTCACCATAGGCCTGTAAGTTAGAGCTGCTGTCTCTGTGCAAGTGAGGAAACGGAGGCTCAGGGTGTTTATGTGAGTTGCTCAAGGTGATGCCGCTGGAAAGCAAGAGAGAAAGAGAGCACAGATTGGAAATGAGGTCTAGCTGGCCTTCAAGTGTTTTGTTCTTGTCCTCATTGTTGTGTTAGGAGCCAGAGGCCCCCACCATGCCCCTCCCATTGCAGCACAATAGGCCTTCTCTGCTCAGAATCAGGCTGGCCCTGACAATGCCAGCGAGGTCTTGAACAGGCAGTCAGGCGTGGTGCCTGGATGTGACATCTCGGGTCAAGACTCTCCAACCTGTACCAGCTCCAGGCTGGTTGACCAGTTGACTGGCAGATGAGTAAGCCCTTGCTGAAAGAGACAAAAGCTTTGGACTTTAACTTGCATTATGAATGATAAATGGAATCAAAATAGATGAGAATCAGGGGAGGAGAGATAGAGAAGAATACCCAAGAAAGGAAGGGGACGGAGTATGAGCTGGGAATGTGCCTCCTGCCTCAGCTCCCAACAATGAAACGACCCTATGCTCACAGAGCACTCCACACCCAGGTGATCTTCACAAGCTGACAAGGCAATGGGAAGAGTGCAGCCAGATCTCAGAGCATGAAGGATTGTGTTGTAATTTAGGCTCTGCAATATTTAGAACCTTGCTTTGGAGCCTGTGTGCCAGGAATAGGGACTGACTTTGTCCAGGAACGGAGGGGCCCCACTGGGCTGTATGCAGGGTGCACTGGGACTGAAAGCTAGAACAGGAACACAGAGACCACAGAGACCCGCAGGACAAGGAAAGAGTTTGTGTCCTCTATGCGGGAGGCAGCGGGTGACTTGCATGAGGGCATGGGGAATGGTGATGCTGCGGACGATAGCAATAACAGCTGCTGCTTCTTGAACAGCTACTTTGCCCCAGGAAAATCGTAGAGACTATCCTCTCATTCTATGAGGTTCTTCCATGGTGAGAAAATTGGAGCTCAGCAGGCTTAGGTCAATTACGCTGAGTCACACTGGCAATAAGGAATAGAGCTTGGACATTCCATCCTAAATATGTCTCTACTTATTTTGAGAGAGAGAGCAAGAGAGAGAGGAAGAGCTCTCTTTTGCTGGCTTACACCCCAAATGCCCATAACTGCCATGACTGGACTGAGCCAAAACCAGGAACCAGGAATACAATCCTGGTCTCCCATGGGGGTAACAGAGACTCAACTACTTGAGCCATCAGCTGCTGCCTCCCAGAATCCACATCAGTGATAAGCTGGATCCAGGAGCCTGAGGCAAATATTGAACCCAGGTACTCCAAAAGAGGATGCAGGTAGGTATCTTAAACACTGAGCCAAACACCTGCCCCTGATCTTGTTTCTATATGACTAGTATGAGAAGATTCACCTAGAGAAGAGATTAGAAGCAAAAGGCTGGAATCTGTGTCTAGGTTCAAAGTTACATGCCCTCGGATTTTTGCATCCCACCCATTCTCATTTACAAACTGATTCAAGCATTTCCCTCAGCTCCAGCATCCAAGACTCTGTGTATGGAAGAACAGGTAATCACATATTTTTGTTGGTGGGTTGAACCATTAGCATAATTGAGCAGTAAATTAGTGAGTGCCAACCCCACCAAGCAAAGAGGCAACCCTCAGAGAGCAGGCACAGAATGAGGTCGTTTTCTATCAGAGGGTAAGTATGACTGACAATGAAGACGTAGAATCAAGGCTGTTGCCTGAGGAAGGATCTCACAGTGGGAGTGACAGGGAGAAAAATACGCCCCAAGTGAAGAAGTTCCCCTAGAATGTCAGCATGTCAGAGAGGGGGAGAAGAGGAAGTGGCAAGCAAGTGGCTCTCAACCAAATACAATCTCACTGCTGGAGTCGACCGCTAAACTGGGGATGCTACAGGCTCTTAGTGGCAGGGGTCAGGTGGGCTCAGGGCTTTGCACAGCCCAGGACAAGTTCATACAATAGTCCACAGCCTGAGTTCACACAGCAAGTTGCCGGCAGATGGCACTGGATTCTAGGGTTGGTGTCTCTTCCGTGTACACTGTTCCTCTTTCTCCCTCTGGACACCGGCCTAGTCGACAGGGAGCAGCCCACATGGGGATCACCAGCACAGCTTCCAGTGCAAAGATGGGCATGCGGAAGGGAATTGTTAAGGGATCCATACTCTCAAGGTCTCTGCGATAAGTTAACGACCAGGGAGCAGCTGATCACCCCTAGAAGAGTCCCCAGCTCTCGGATGCCAGATGGCCTCTTACGGGGTGCACACCTGGCCTTCCAAAGTGCCTCTGACTGCCCTTACAGCAAAGGAAGGAAGCGTATTGTTTGTCACTGTCACAAATGCCCAGATAAGGCTTTCAGGATCTGTCAAGTCTCTTGTGGACTCTTTGTGGGACAAGCAGCTAATGCACGTCCAAGTGGCTTGAACAGAGCCGTCCCCAGCAAGGGTTTTAGAAGACAAATATAGGTATGCTGGCAGAGAAGTAGAGTGAGCACTTCGCGAACACAAGAGCAAGGGATTCTGAGCCCCGAGCAGCGCTGAAAGATGGCTCTTTACACAGGTGCACTGCTAGCCGTCTTCTGAAGTTCCTTTGAAGTTCCATATTTACTCGGAAGAAGCACATAAGCTGCCCAGATGGCGTGTTTCTTTGCCTTTGGTTGGAATCGTGTTGTCTTAGAACAGTAGCCCTGGTTATTTCAGGCAGGTCAGGGGCCCTGATTGGCAGCTGTGCTTTCTTTGAGTTTAAAAATCAAAAGGAGATAAATTACTTTTTCATGAATGTGGTTTTCATCCTATCCACAACATTTATTAAATATTTAATCGGTGCCAAGCCCTGTAGGAGGTCCTAGAATAACCACAGGGGTTTTTGTTGGTGGAAAATGAAACAGGTCCCTGGTTGGAAACCTCAAGCTGTGGAGCCTTTGGAAGTTCTGCAGATGTGGTTCAGCCTTTGGTGTGGTTTTCCTCAGCAGCATGAACCATGTCTTCAAGGGAAAAGGAGGAGGTGTTAAAGCAGAGAGGAAGAAGAAACTAGAGAGTCTCACAGAAGGAAACCAGGCAAGACAGAACACTGTGGGATGCCCTGGCTTTGGGGGTTGGATTGTCTAACCACCCTTAGGTTTGCTTCCAAGAGCTTCAAAAAGAAGAAATGGTGGGGATTCAGATCAGATGCAACTGCCCCGGAGGACCTGACGGGCTCAGGAATGCAACTCCAGTTATGCCCCCAGGAAACACGTGTGTCCTGACAAAAGCAGACCCTGAAGGCCAAGTCTGTGGAGTCCCTCATCACTGGACCACTGTGTGGAGAGGCAAGTGAGGAAAGGGCAGTTAA